CTATTAAAAAAACAAAAAAAAGATTTATGTGAATAGCACTGAAAAACCAAAAGAAAACCAAGTATACACTAGTATGTTGCAAATAGAAGCATAGAACACCCAAATATTTCCATTATAAGTGCTAATAATTTGCAGCCATTTTCTACATTTAGGGATGATTTACACTGGAACACTTGTATTCCAGTTTTGACAGCCCAGTGATTTCAATGGGCTGCGGAAAAATCAATGCAAGCACTACTTTATCAAACAGTACCACACCAACTCAACAGCTCTATGGTAGTTCATTGAGCATATGTGTTTTTGCCACGTTTCTGGTGCGTTTTGAACCTTTGAAAGAAAAAAAAAAAAAAGCCAAAAAAAAAAGGAGCGCTTTATATGCGTTTCCATTTTACTGCACCAAATAAGAAGCAAGAAGAACTTTGGAAAAAAAAAAAGCAATGGACCTGCAACTGACCAGTGTAAAGAGTTCTGAAAGATTTAATGGCCATGCCTTTTTCTTGTGTTTTTTTTTTTTCAATGCAAAAACTGAAGAAAAACAGGTCAGTGTAAAAACAGCATTAGTGAGGTTATTAACCACTTGCCCTCCAGAGGATTTACCCCCCTTTCTGAAACAGGCCATTTGTTGCGATACGGCGCTGCATTACTTTAACTGACAATTGCGCGATAACATTGTACATTAATTAAATTTATGTCCTTTTTTCCCCCCAGCTTTTTTTCGGTGATATTTGATCCCCTGTGCAGTTTTTAGCTTTTATTTTTTGCGCTATAAACAAAAAAAGACCGACAATTTTTTTTGGGAAAAAAAAAATATATAAGTATTACTAAATCAAGGACCCTGTATTCACTATATATGGTCTCCAACCGTACACAGAACATAAAAATGCAATTATTTTAGTAAATATAAACTGCTAAATTCTTTTCTCATCAGTAGTTAGAGCAGTCTTGTGACTTCTATCAGTATACAGCAAAGCCCTGGTTAAAGCTTGTAGGAGTTCTCTAGGAGGATGCAGAACTTGCTGATCACATATACACTCTCCCAAGAAAAAACCTCTCTAGCAATACACACCAAATGGAGCATGCGCAGTGTCTCCACACAAGGAGATAAGAGGGGGGCACTGGAAGGGGAGGATCAGAGAAGTCAAGATCAAACATCCTTTTTACACAATGCAGAGGATTAACCCCTTAGGTTCCACAGTGAGTATAACAAGCATGCTTTTTGCATATACAGACTGATGTTACAGTTGTGGGTTTAGTAACACTTTAATTGGAACAGCTGAACAAAGTGGTTGTGGTCGTCTGCGACAGATGCAGCCACTTAGCCTGTAAAAAGCAATAGCAGGCTGACAGGAGTTGCTGCTGTTCACACATTCGGTGGTTAGAGACAGATGCCCACAACAACCTGTCAGCCTAGGTGCAGCAATACACTGTCTTGTGAAACTGCCTGTGTCTATTTGTCCTCAGGAAAATAATTTTCTTTTCTTCTTGTACCAGCTGTAAAATCCTATTTTCCACTGATGAACATTGCTTTATTAAGCAACCCAGGATTATACTACCATGTACAGGAGAAATGGACACTAGGCACATTAAAACTGGGGGAAAGCCCCAAGGGCAGGGGTACGTAATTAAAATTCAAGGAGGTCCAGTCACTAAAATTTTCTTCTGGCCGAGGTCCGAATAGGATGTGCCCATCAGTGTGCCCCCTTACATTAGGTGTCGCTATCAGAGTGCAACTTTACATCATGTATTCCCATCACATCAAGTGTTCCCATCAGAATGCCCCTTTACATCAGGTATCCTGGTCCGAGTGCCCCCTTACACTCAAAGTACCCATTTTCATCATATTTCCCCATCAGAGTGCCCCTTTCTATCGTATTCCCCATCAGAGTGCCCTTTCCACAGTATGTGCCCATTTGTGCCCCCTTCACATAAAATGTGCCCATCAGAGTGCCCCTTAACATAAAATGTGCTCATCAGAGTTCTATGCGGAGTAATAATCACTAAATTAGTGAATGCAAAATGATTTTGATCGCGATTCCAAAAATACATAAAAATCCATCTCAGCCACCAGCGCATCCGATAGTGTCGGCAGTAGAAGGCCCATTAGAAACTGTTAGTAAATTTATAGATAATATTATAAAGTATTTAGTAACTGGATTAAAATCATACGTTAAAGATACAAGGGATGTCTTATCCAAAATTGAAGATATTAAAGTCCCTGATGGGGCATTATTAGTTGGTATAGATGTTGAGTCCTTATATACCTCAATTCCCCATAAGTGGGGATTGAGGGCAGTAGCTTACTTTTTAGAGGCACAATTTCCAGAAATGGGAGCTCAGAATGAACTGATCCTTGATCTTCTAGAAATTTTACAAACGCATAATTGTTTTCAATTTTTGGGTACATTTTATCAACAAATCTGTGGCACGTCAATGGGAGCCCCTTGGGCCCCAGCTTATGCCTGTCTCCACTTTGGACTATGGGAGAATGATCTAGTATATACAGCATCCATGTTTAAAAAAACATGTTGTAAAGTGGCTAAGATATATTGATGATATTTTAGTGGTTTGGGATAGAGAGATCGAACAATTAAAAAGCTTTCTGGTAGATCTGAATTTAAATGATAGAAATATAAAATTAACATATATCTTTGATGATGAGGAAATCTCGTTTTTGGATTTATCCATCTCAATCCATGGGAATATCTTGGCAACAAAGATAGGTCAATTTTTGAGGATTAAAAGAAACTGTACAGATGAAATGCAATATAAAACGGAAGCAATAAAACATTATCAAAGGTTTAGAGAAAGGGGCTACTCTCATAGAACTTTGAGAAGAGCAAAACGTAAGGCCTCATGTAAAACTAGAAAGGATTTGATTACCAATGTTAATTTGGAAAAAATTGATGATAAACCACAAAATGAACCAGTGAGGTTCATAACTAAATTTTGACAAGAATGGAATGAGGTTAAAAAACGTTTTTAATTCTCATTGGCATTTATTAACTATGAATCCAGGGATAGCACAAATTGTAGGGGATAAACCACAGATGGTTGTGAAAAGAACTTCCAATTTGAATGATATTCTGGTTCAATCAGAGTTCAAAAAGGTTCCTAGAGAAAATTGGCTAACTAAAATGAATAAAGTTACAGGAATGTATCCATGTGGCCACTGTCAGATGTACATAAAACTAATCAATTTCACAATATAGATTAATCCCAAACCTTCAAAGTTCAACATTTTATAAATTGCTCTAGCAGTAAAGTGGTATATATGATAGAATGTCCATGTAAAAAATTGTACATAGGAAAAACCAAAAGATCATAAACTGATGGTGAAATATTCAAAAGGAAAATTCCTTTTACTTTTAGACCAAGGAGAGGAGACTTTGATAAAATACTTTTACAAAAAGAAAAGTTTTGGATATACACATTAGGTACTTTATTACCACATGGATTAAATACTGAACTAAATTTTAAAGTATTTTTGAATTAAATCCTTAGTTATTTCAATTTCAATCTGGATTAAATAAACTAAAGAATCTCTGGAAAATTGTTATAATAAATATAGTTTAATGAACCTATATATTTATCTGATGCTATTGAACAAATAAAAACACTATCTGAAATTTGTTTACATTTTTTTGGCCATTTTTTCTGATGTTCTTGATCAATCATATGTATTTTTACTTCATTTTGGACTGAATGTAGTGATGACATTTCAACACAAGAGGGCGACATAGTAACGAAAGGATGCAATTAATGCACTATAAAAGGCAATGGATGAGTTGTCTCCTCCCAGTTCTGACGAAGTCTGCAATGATTGGCGGACGAAACGCGTCAACGTAGTGACATCATCACGCTCTACATTCTTCCATGCTGTGGTGTCCATGAGGGGAAAGAAGTAACGTGTCTCCATCTTGGTATAAACATGAGGCAAGGCGGAAAACCACTAAGTTATTACTCCCAGGAGTTTTTTGCATATCTAAAGTGGCTTAGTTCACTTCCACCGGTGGCAAGTACCTCTGAATAGAGCCAAGTCAGATTCTGCTAATATTTTTGATACGGGATTGTTATATCTCATGCCGCAACTGGGTATTCTAGTGCTCTCATTGAGAGAAATTTGAGGGCCTTTATAGGTGAATTGAGTATCATCTTATTAGTATTTTAACGCTATACGGGACAATTGTCCCTTGTATTCCTAAAGGAACTGCACTTGCTGTCATACTAAGAGGACTTTTTGGAACCCATTTTTGGGCACATTAGAAAAAAAGCAATTTTTGGATTTAAAGGAGATCGCATCTCTTGGTTAACTGCAGAATGCATACTTATGCAAATGTATTCATCAGTGTGAATATTTTGGTTTCCAATATGGTAATTATACATTTTTTTCATTCACTACATTGATGTTTTTCACAATCATATAATTAACAAATTTTGTTTATTCTAGAAGCCAAATCACTAATTTTTTGAACATTGGCCCACTGGTCATAGCCACATTATGTGAAACTACAGCTAATCACTCTAATGATGTTGAACATCTACAAAGAAGGTAACAAGATGCAATTTTGACAGTTTATTGATTTCTATTCAAGCAATTATTGTAGCAGGTCAATGACAGTGATATAGCCTATTCTAGATCTTCATGTATTCATTATTTATTCATCTATTTAATTTCCAGGAAGTTTATTATGCAAACTTTGATTACCCAATTTGAGGAACTGATAAGGACACTAACTTTGACATTAAGAAGTTGTAATCATACCTGGATTCTTTATTTGAACTCTCCTATTGATGAATACAGAAGTCTTTGCTTTTCTTATCTGGTTTACTAGATACACATGCAGCTAAGTGGAAAACGCAGAACTTTTTTTGTTTTTTTATTTTTATGATTGCACACTGTTCACCATGATTAAATGTCAACCTTTTTCATGATCTATGTGATCTAAATAAATAAAAATATTTAGCATTCACTAATTTAGTCATTATTACTCCACATAGGA